AGAGCTATCGTTGATTAGTAGGTTGTCTCATATATTTGTGCTTCATTAGATTAGAGTTGTCCTATTTTGTGCATGTACTATGTGCTTCATTAGATTAGAGTTTTCCTATTTTGTGCATGTACTATCCCAATTTACGAATTGCCCACAAGCAGAACACTGGGAAGCATCGCTACGACTTGTTCAATTATTGAAAGGAAAACATGGACAAAGTATATATTTGCGTAGTGCATGTGATTTAAATCTATATGAATGATGCAATTCAGATTAGGCAAGCTTTCCTTTAACATGACGATCTCTCACTCTATGGTTTGTTCTCTTAGACAAATCATCAATAGCTTGGAAGACTAGGAAGCAAAAATTGGTGTCCAGGTCATCTGCTGGAACACACTCCTTTTCAATGAATTAATTTGTTATTTGTCATGTTGATTGCTGGGTATGTAGCAAGAATTAATGGGAAATGGAGGAAAAATGAAAAGAGAGTAACTTGGAAAGTCCTCTTATGATTTAGTGAAAAGACATTTGTTACTCATCGGCAGTGGAAAGAAAAATAGGAGAGTTAAAATGGAAAGAGGGACACCCCTCGCACCGTCTTCATCATTGCTCGGCTCGGCTTTGCTTTGGTTCGGAAAATGATCGAGAGATTATTTTTTGGACAAATTTTGTTTTAATTATTTAATTAACTAATGTAAATTAAATGGCCAAAATATTTTCAGTTTATTAGTTGATAACATAAATGTTTTCAATTATTTCGTTGAGATTAACCGAAATGTTTTAACTTTTTAGTTGATTAACCCAACCCGACTCAGATTTCTGTGACCCGTTTTATTTAAAATCTTTCCCATTTTATTTAAATTTACCACCGTTTGGAAATTACTATTCTGAAAGTCTGAAACGTTTCAACTTTCAGGAGCAGCTAGGATTGTTCACAAAGGTTAAAAATTTTCATTAATGGTCGTGTGGATTTGAAAGGGTTGCAACCTTTCAGAATCTGTTCCTCTTTCCTATAAATACCATTTATTCTTTAAAAAAATTTCTTATGAATTTTTCTTACTTCTTCTTCTTCTTCCGCACAAAATTCTCTTCGTAACTTACTATTGTATAGTGGTTCGCTGACACCAGAGTTTTGGGTGTCACTACACTGGTGATTGAGATCATTCTATCCTGAGAGGACATATTCTAATTCAAACCTCAGATACTAGGGGGAATAATTTCCTTAACAGGACAATGTGCATTCATTGGGCTTGATCTTTTTCTGTTCTAAGTTTCAGAATTCTAGTACATTTACATATTTTTAGTTTTTCTAAATTAATTTTTTTTATCTTTCTTACTAGTTCAACAAACTTTGGTTACTTCATGTTTTCGAAAAGTTTTGTTGGAATCTGTATTCTATTTTTCAAACACAGATTGGCAATATTGACTAACTCAACCATAAAGAGTTATTGACCCTAGGACAAACAACTTTGTCCATTCAGATTGGTGTAGTACGTTAATGTCTCACCAACCTTTGTACCCCATTATAGAACCGGATGATATAACTCAATCAGGGAACATGTCTCTGCATTTGTAAGGATTATCAAAACAACTAGAATATAACATATTTTCGTACACCAATTATTTGAATGCCTGAAATGTAACGAGATGTAACCAAAAACCCGCACTGAGAAACAGATAATGGAGACCTCCTCGATAAGGTCTTTGCAGAAATTTAAGACGAAGAAGCACAAATAACATAGATCTGAAGTACACAAGAAGGATTACAAATTCAACCCCTTGAAGTTATGGAACCTAACATTATAGTTGGAGTAATAGTAAGCATTCTACTAAGAGTTTTCCAATATCAAGGAAAAATGTTGGGATCTCCTCTTCCAGATGCATGTGTATATATATATATATATATATATAGCAAACTACAAACCTTCTTTTCTTCTCCTTCATTTCAGTAGCTGGGTGGAGCATTTAGAAGAAGTAATTGATCTGCAATGGGTTCTATGGCCAAAATCTGTAGGATTTTACAGAGCCTTAGGGGTAGTTTTCTGAACTATTTTGTTGAGATTTATAATTATAATGTCTTCCAGAGTTGACCCTTAAAAACCTTAAGTTGTTTATACTGTAGATTATGTTTGTAAAAAAAGGTTCAAGTGTTACATAGATGAATTCATAGTCTAACAAAGCAGTAAAAAAGAACATAGGCCATTTAGGTGAAAAAGTGTACCTCTGAAAGCTATTTATCAGTCATTTCAACACCTTCCAGAAGTGTCTTTCAGAAGTGGCACAACACCAATAAGTAAATACAGGAGTATCTGGCAAAGCACGTGCCTAGAAAAACTAACTTGAATGGCAAACCTTTTGAAATTTCCTTCTTCTAGTTTAGTTCTATTGATTACATTCTCCATCTCCACATAAGATCTAAGATATTTTTTATTCATTTTCTGAAACTCATAATCTTTTATTTTTAGGAGTTCTTCCTTCTCAGCCAATAGTTTCACCAAGTCATCCCTAGAAAGATCGTCTGTATCTAAATCAGAATCAGAAGATACAGCTTGTTTAATATGTCTTTTTCTAGTTTTTCATTTTCATTTGTGTTATCTTTAGATTCTAAATTAGGACCTCATTAATCATTCTCATCTTGACCCTGAGAATCAGCAAAAACTGAAGCTTCATATTTTACACTCATTTCTCCATTCTCTTTTCTGCTTCCCTGTTTGCTTTGGGATTGAGATGGAGAAAATGAAAATCCAAGCCGTTGCAAGACATATTCACTGAATAGAGTAACATGAATCGATATTAGCAGAACCAGCAATATAAAGGTGAATATGAAAATTGAACATTTCATCTTATCACAAATACAGAACAACTCAAACATAATTCCTCAAGGCATCAAACATAGTGGAACGTTGATTTTACAGCTCAATCAAGTTAAAAGATCTAATTACGGACAAACAAACATGTTAACCAGGTAACTATTTTTAAAATTATTTAGGTCTAGATGACCCTTTGAAATCAGACAGAGCCAATCCAACTGATAAACATCCTACAACTCCATAATCCACTCCATACCAATCATCCCAGGAACAAGCTCCAAATATTACAAACTATAAAATAGTTGTTTCTAAAATTAAGTAAGCTGCTAGAAGCCAATTAAGGTACTCTAACATCTGGCACCATTAGATTCTTGAAGTTTTAGTAAAGGTTTCAAGTGATTGTTTTGCATCCTGATTCTCTATAATGTTCTGTTGATACAGCAGCTAAAGTAACACTAATATCAACAATTCAGATAGAAGCCTATGATACAGCTAAATTACGAGTCCTTCTTAAACCCTAGCAAAACCTTACACATTATAAATCGACGAAAAAATGAACAACTTTAAAAGTATTAAGGCATAACATCAAACCTTCTCTTTCAATTCACAAATGAGTGGAACTCAAATGTAAAAATGTAAACGTATCGTTGTTGTTGCTATTCTTGGAAATAGAGGAGCAACGAGCTCCGGTACTAAGCTGCGACATATTTTGGGAAACGAGATGAAATTCTACCAACCTAAATCTCCAAATTCACAGTGTGAGCTCAGATTTGGAGAAACAGAGAGGTGAGAGATATGGAGAAGAGAGGTAACTAGAAGTGTTCAGTTCATGGCTTTAGAAATTTAATAAAAGAATATTAGAATGTACCACTTCTACATGGAGTAATTAGAGGACTAACCATAGAGTATTGATGGACTAATTAGCTACGAAATCATATAGGAAATTGATGAAATAATAATAGATATCCTTATGTTTGGACATATATAACTCATATATTCTTAAATATTGTGTTTTACGTTTGGATATCTATAATTAATATACTATTAAGTATTGTGTTTTGTTTAATATATATATATATATATATATATATATATATATATATATATATATATATATATGTATGTATGTATGTATGTATATTCCGGATTCGATTACACTTCTTGAAAACTAAAAGCCTAAAAACCCTAACTGAATAGTACAAAATCAAACCTAAAAGCAGCATGTACACACCTAGGCCTGATTAATGTCTTGAATGATTCCTTTTAACTTCAAGTTTTGGGCGTCCTTGTGTTTGATCATGTTGTCTACTAACATAAAATCAAGTTCCAAGTCATATTCCTTATAGCTCAAGCCGAAATAGAAACACTCGTAAGCACCACTAGCCTGATACGCGGTTGAACATAAGTAGGGCCTGATATTCATTCCTTACTAAAATATGAAGGTGGCAGTCTCAATCTAGCGGTGTGTCCAAAACAAGCCTATTCTGCTTGCTTGCATAATCTGGTTACATATAATGTTGCCATAGCTTCAGCATGACTGTTGGTTTTGCATTGAGCAACGACTCAGAATGCCATGATACGATTACCAATGGCATCCTAATGATTCCTCCTATACCAGGTCCAGAGTTTTCATGGATGTAGCTTCTTGTTAAATATATTGTAAATATCTTGTATAATGGTAAATTAGTTACTAGTATATACTCATTCCTAAATTGTAGTCTTTGACTCCTAATTTTGTAGCCTTATTTGTTGCTATCTTTGTGTATATAAGGATCAGTAAATTAGAGAGATGGAATCGAGAAAAATATTCTTTCATGGTATAAGTTGCTTAGGATGCTTCTTCATCATATGCCCTTGATTCCGCCCCCTTGCTTCTGTTTTTCTGCCGGCAATCTCACAATGTCGGACAAATCTTTTCATCCGTATTTGGCCGTCTCTAATATCAAGAACCATATTCCCATCACCCTTGATATGGAAAACGTTCAATACTCTACGTGGTCGGTATTATTCAAAATTCATGCTCGTTCTCATAGAGTACTAGCCCATATTATCGATCCGAAAGAAGGTACGTCCAAACCACCTTCAACTGATCAAGAGAAGGAATTGTGGACTACTCCGGATTCGATGGTTTTTTCATGGATATATGCCACTGTCTCTAATGATCTCCTACATACAATTATTTAGCTTGATTCGATTACTATGGAGGCCTGGGATAGGTTGCGAGACATATTCCAGGACAACCAACATTCCCGTGCCCTTTCTCTTGAACAAGAATTCTCCACCACTTCAATGGAGAATTCTCCCAATGCATCCTCTTACTGTCAGCATCTTAAGTCTCTCGCTGATGAGTTGAAGAATGTCAGAGCATTAGTTTCTGATAGCCGGATGGTGTTACACTTGACTGGTGGCCTTACCCGAGCCTACCGTGGTGCAGGCACGCTTATTCATCAAAGCAATATGCTTCCTCCCTTTTACAAGGCTCGCTCCACGCATGTTCTTAAGGAAATTGGAATTGAAAAGGAGGCGGCAACCGAATCTTCCATGGTCGCAGCCTCGTCAGATGACTCCTCCGGTCATTTGACAAACATTGGTCAGATGAAGAGCAAATATTCCAGTTCATTGAACAACAAGCGCAACTTGCTGGGCGAGGCTCCGGTGCTGGTCAAGCTTTGAACATGTCCCTTCATTTTCGGTATCAAGTGTATCCTTGGGGATATGGTTGGCCCATTCCTCCTAGCCCTTACCCAACTCAAGCATGGACCAAGCCTAGTACTCCAAACCAGCAGGATAGACTATTGGTCCCAAGGACACGAAATCATTAGTCTTAGATGGCGTCTGGACACCACCAATAGTCTGGTTCGATGACTCCTACCGATATTCAGGATGCAATGCATACTATGTCTCATAATTCTCCTGATCCGTCTTGGTACATGGACACCAGCGCTACTTCTCATATGACTTCCTCCTGAGGTAACTTCTCATCTTATTTTAATTTGAGCACTCATTCAAATAATAATATAGTTGTTGTTAATGGTCATAAAATTCCTATTCTTTATTACGGTCACACTTGTTTGACTTCATCTAGCTCGACCCTTCCTTTAAATAATGTCCTTCATTCTCCTAAAATCATAAAAATTCTCATCTCTGTTAGAAAATTTACTACTGATAATTCTGTAACTGTTTCATTTGATACTTTTGGTTTTTCTGTAAAGGATTTTCAGACGGGGAAGCCAATAATGAGGTGTGATAGCCTGGGCGACCTTTAACCAATTACTACTCCAATCAAAAATCAAGTTACATTTACTTTTGCCGCGATTTCTCCTAAACATTGGCATGATCAGGTGGGTCATCTGGGTGCTCCTATTTTAGATGCTCTTAGGCACAATAAAAATATTTGATTGTAATAGACTTTCAAGTTCTAGTATTTGTTGTTCATGTGTTTTGGGGAAACATGTGAAGTTGTCATTTGTTTCTTCAATTTCTAGTACGACTTTGCCATTCGATATAATACATAATGATCTTTGGTCATCTCCCATTTTGAGTTCTATAGGATATCGTTACTATGTTGTATAACTTAATTGTTTTTCTAATTTTTTGTGGACTTTTCCTTTAGCCCGATAATCTGATGTATATGACACATTCTTGGTTGTTAGGAATCACATTCTCACCCAATTTGAGCGTAATGTTAAAAACGTACAATGTGATAATGGGAGGGAGTTTGATGATGGTCCATTTTGGGAATTCTGTAAAAAACATGGCATGTCTTTCCGTGTCTCTTGTCCTCATACTTCTTCACAAAATGGGAAAGCCGAAAGAAAAATTCGTACTATCAATAACATTAGTCGTACTCTTCTTGCCCATGCCTCACTTCCACCTTCTTTTTGGCATCATTCCTTACAAATGACAACCTACCTTCTAAATATTCTTCAGAGCAAATTGTTGGGTAATAAATCTCCTTTGGAAATTCTTTATGAAAGGGAGCCTTCTTATTCTCATTTACGGGTTTTTGGGTGTTTGTGTTATCCACTTTTTCCATCTCATAAAATTATCATTTGTAGACATGTTATTTTTTATGAGAATTCCTTTCCCTTTGCAAAGTTACATGCTCCTTCTCCACATATAATATTTTGGACTCTGGACTAAATTGTTATGTTATTCAACATTTTAGAAATTCTAATGTTGCGTCCAACGACCCTCCACATCCTACGGCTCATTCCCCAGCCCAATCTACTCCACCTGGCAGCCCCTCTTCCCAGCAAGCTCAACCCGCTTCTCCCCCTACTTAATATCCCCAACCGCCCTATGGGCCATCCTCCCTTGACAGCCCGTCACCTCATTCATCACCCCATACTTCCCCTTTGTCCCAAATACATTCCACACTATCAAACAATTTAGCACTACAACCCACTCCAATTCCTCTCTCGCGGAAAAGAGTTGTAACTCGTAGCCAAAATGGGATATTTCAACCAAATAAGAAATATTCTTTTGTTTCTGAGAATACAAGGTAACCTTTGCCTCATAATCCGATTGCGGATCACCGTGATCCAAATTGGAAAATTGCCATGGATGATGAATATGATGCTCTTATTAAAAATAAGACGTGGGAGTTAGTGCCCCGTCCACCTAATGTGAATGTGATTCAGTCTATGTGGATTTTTACGCATAAAGTCAAATCTAATGGTGTTTTTGAGAGGCATAAAGCACGTCTTATAGGTGATGGCAAAACACAGCAGGTTGGTATTGATTGTGGTGAGACATTTAGCCTGGTGGTCAAACCGGCTACAATCCGAACTGTTCTTAGTATATCTCTGTCCAAGGCATGGCCAATTCATCAATTGGATCTCAAAAAGGCTTTTATTCATGGTGAGCTTCAGGAAACTATTTATATGCATTAACCCTTGGGGTACATGGATCTTACTCATCCTTATTATGTTTGTCTGTTACGTAAGTCTTTGTATGGCCTTAAGCAAGCTCCTCGGGCTTGGTATAAGCATTGTGCTGATTATGTTTTGTCCATTGGTTTCATTGATATCCGGTGTGACAATTCTCTAACCATCTACAGCCAGGGTTTGGACATGACGTACATTTTATTATATGTTGATGATATTATTCTTACTACTTCTTCTGATGCTCTTCGGTGTTCCATCATAGCTCTTCTCAGTTATGAATTTTCTATGATTAATTTGGGTCGTTTAAATTATTTTCTTGGTATTGCTGTCACTATACATAAGGGTGGTATGTTTCTTTCACAACGGAAATATGATGAAGAAATAATTGAACGAGTCGGCATGTCCTCATGTAAACCGACTCTTACTCCGATTGACTCCAAACCTAAAGTTAGTGCTCATTCTAATGTTCCTTATGCTGATCCCACTCTTTACAGAAGTCTTGCAGGGGCCCTTCATATCTCACTTTTACCCTTCCGCATATATCTTATGCTGTTCAAAAAATTTATCTCCATATGCATAATCCGCGTATTGATCATTATAATGCTTTCAAACAAATAATCCGGTATGTTAAGGGTACTTTCGATCATGGACTTCACCTTTATCCCTTTTCATTCTCCCCTTTTTTCTCTTACACAAATGGAGATTGAGGAGGGTGCCCGGACACCCGACAGTCTACATCCGGGTATTGTGTATTTTTGGGAGACAACTTGGTATCATGGTCATCAAAACGACAACCCACATTGTCTCATTCTAGTGCCGAGGCCGAATATCGTGCGGTGGCCAATGTCGTGTCCGAATCATGTTGGATTCGTAATCTTCTCTTAGAGTTGAATTGTCCGATTAAGAAAGCCACACTTGTATACCGTGACAATGTAAGTGCTATTTATTTATTGGGTAATCCAGTACAACATCAGCGTACAAAACATATTGAAATGGATATCCACGTTGTTTGAGAAAAGGTTGCTCGTGGACAGGTTCGTGTTTTACTTGTTCCATCCCGTTATCAAATAGCGGACATTTTCACAAAAGTTCTTCCACGTATCTTGTTAGAACAATTTCGGGACAATCCTAGCGTCCGCAAACCTCCCGCTCTGCTTGTGGGGATGTGTTAAATATATAGTAAATATGTTGTATTATGGTAAATTAGTTAGGAGTATATATTCATTCCTAAATTGTAGTTTTTGACTCCTAATTTTGTAGCCTTATTGGTTGCTATCTTTGTGTATATAAGGATCAGTAAAATAGAGAGATGGAATCGAGGAAAATATTCTTTCACTCACATATGTGTTGTTTTTGATCTTACCTATCTCATGTTTGATCCACCGACACTAAGTCTGTACCTTTCAATTCTTGCACAAAGTTCAGCCCATGTACCTCTAGTGTCACAGTTTGGAGAGGCAATGGAAATGGCTTCCTTGGTATTCCACAGGATATATCCTGCTTGAAGTCATAATTTGTAATGATCGCCATATTTATGAGTTCTCCAGCCATTCCATATTTCGCGAGAAACACAAATTTGTTGCATGTACATTGTTGGTGGTGCTCCATCAAGTACTGGAAATTCATTGAACATCTCTCCCTCGGTCTTTATCCAAGAGTATTTGGCCATATCACTATCGCTGAAAACATGTTGCAAGGATTCACATACAACTGGAAACTAAACGTTTTCCAAACTGTTGGGAAGTAGAAGAACAAATAACGTAGTTTTGATGATTGATAAAGTGAAGGCATGGTGTCGTATGTGTACAATTATGAGAGATTGCGGCGAAGAAGAAAAAGTGCAGAATTGTAAAGAAGGAAAAGAAGGAAACAAATATGGAAATAAATAAAGAAAGAAAGAAATAAAAAAAGTAGCAATTCAAGTCAAAGAAGGAAAGAAATAAAAAAGTAGCAATTCAATTCAGAGAAGGAAAGAAATAAAAAAGTAGTAATCCAATCCAAAGAAGGAAAGAAATAAAAAAGTAGCAATTCAAGTCAAAGAAGGAAAGAAATGAAAAAGTAGCAATCTAAGTCAAAGAAGGAAAGAAATAAAGAAATTACAATTCAAGTTAAATAAGGAAAGAAGTAAATATAGACAAGTTCAAGAAGGAAAAGGATTTGTAATTCCTTTCCTCGTAGAAGTTGAAGGCAAATCAAATCTATAAAACGATCAAGATTTTGAAGGAAAAAAATGCTTTGCAATCACAAAAATCGAGATAATTTTTCCAGTAAAGACAGAACGATAGGTATTGCATATTCACGAAATATATCATCTTGAGAGCAGTAATTTCTGGAGAAAAAACGCAGGCCTTTGTTACAGAAACGTAGGGACCAGGTTCACGTTCATCACAACAAAATAAAGAACAGGTTCACGAAACCTGTTCTACTTAGAACTATTGGATATTGAAGTTTGATCAATTAATGTCTAGGGTTATTAGTCTTTATTGATTTTTTCAAGGTTTATTATTGAGTTGTATTAATTCCTAGAGTTGCAACAAGAAGTGGGTTTGACTTCCTGGGAGTTGAGTCTTGAGTGAATTGTAACAAGAAGTGGGTTTGACTTCTTGGGAGAGAGGTTGTGAGAATTGTAAACAGGAAGTGGGTTTGACTTCTTGGGTGGTTAGAGTTAACAAGAGTTGAGAGCTTTTGTAAACAAGAAGCGAGTTTGACTTCTTGTAGAGTGGAGAGTTTTCGATTATAGTTAATCGAAAAGGGTAGAAGTTTAGAGTTAGATTCATTGATTAA